ATCGCTTCTGCCATCAACATCATCTTCATCCCAGCAACCCACAACCATCATTGTCGCCATCATTTGCTGCTGATGGTAAGAAGAAGAATATCAAACCCAAAAATTCCTAAATCTCCTCCTCTTTCCACTCACCCAAAACTCCTTGAATTTGAGCCTCCTCCTCCCACCACCTGCTCTCCTTCCTTCCCCGCCAAGTCCCCGCTGGAATCCCTCTGCTGCATTGGCAGCGGCGCCAGCAGTGTCGTCCTGGACCCGAAATCCGGGATCGAGGCGGAGTCCCGCAAGCTGCCTTCCTCGAAATACAAAGGAGTCGTCCCCCAGCCCAACGGCTGATGGGGGCCCAGATTTACAAGAAGCACCAACGCGTCTGGATCGGCACTCATCCTCCCCGCAAAAGCCCCGACCACAATAAAACATCGGTCGCCCTTTTCATTAGCGTCAGAAGCAAAATGGTCGACCGTAAATGTATATTGGTCGATCACTTGATGGCGGTCATTAACAAAATGGTCGACCATTTACAGAAAGAGGTCGACCAGGTATAAGAGAAGGGTTATATCCATTTATCCATCACCATTTGACGTAAAATGAAGATCAAGAGTGTTGGTTTCGCGGTCGACCTAATCCGGTACGAGGTCGACATTTTTGCTATAAAAGGTCAACCGCGTCGTTGAACCTCACAAAACTGAAAAACAGATTAGATCGAACTAATCCTATATAAGATCGACCTAAAAGTGCAAGTTACGGTGACATGCATGTCACCGTAGCAAAGTCCCTATATTTTTCATGGAGATTACTATGATTTACAAGAAAAGCTAATAAATAACGAAGTAGAGCGCCAAAATTAGGGAAAGTTTAGCGGTCAACATTTTTATGGCTTATTGGTCTACGTGGACCGTGGTCGATGTAGGTGGATAACTTGGTTATACATAACTAACTATTTTCTTGATTTTGACGTACATATCTAAGGGGCGAGATTGTCGTACTTTTTTAATATGTTTGTATCTTCTTTATTTAATTCGAATTTTTTTCATAGTTGAAAACGAGTTTATTGTGAGCTACAAAATAATATATATTTTTTTATATATTTTGGAAAAATATTTTCATACAACCCAGTACTACCTACAAATTTTGGAAAAAAAACTTTCCAGGACCAAATATACCACCTTTGGTATATGGTTTGTAACTAGTGATAGATAATTGTTAATATATTTTACTTTATTATATATTCATCTTATCATAACACATTTTCATGCCATCATGATATCATTTTATGTATTATCAAATATTATGAACATGATATAGAAGAGTAATATATATCTCAGAATTTTCTTCTAAAATATATCAAAGGATGAGACGTCATTTGAAGAACATGATTAATCTAATTTTTGTGCCAATAATAATTTGAATTCCGACTTAAAATGATAAAGATAAAGACCGTTTAATTTAACTAAAGAAAAAGTTATGCATCGTAAGAAACCAACTAACCAAATTCCAACCTAGTTAATGACTAGATAGATAGGGGTGGATATTGTAGCTAGTGATGGCAATGAGACGGGACAGGTACCTTACTACCCATAGCCCCCCCCCCCCCCACACACACACACACCAAGCACTGGTAATACCCGTGAGGGCATGGGGCTGGACGAGCCACTCTTACATGTTATCTAGAAAAATACACACAAAATTTTATTTTTTACAATAAAGGGTAAACGCTTTATGAATGAAAAATAGTGATAATAGAATGGGTAATTGAGTCTAATTAGTTGAAGAAAAGTGAAAATAGGATAAACATGAATAGATATTGTAAGAGGGGACATGGCAGGACGGGTCGGAAGTAGATACCCATGTCCCACCCCACGCTACTGCGGGTCGGATAATACATGCCTCATCGCGGATTAGGACGAATAATACCCGCGGGGCGGATTCAAATGGTCATCCTTAACTGTAGCACAATTCTCTAACCCGCTCCAAATTTATGGTGTTCACCAAAAGAACATTTATATCAAAGAGACTGAGTTATTAGTTATTACTTACCAGCTTTGAGCCCGATGGAAATGAAAAATATTTTGTTAGATGTTTTTGTTTTTCCCCAACTATAATTACGTACATAATAGAAGTATGTATTATGTTGGTACAAAATGGAACGATATTGATATAGTTTAGCAATTTAGTAGAATTTGAACGTGTACGGGTCATGGTTGAAGGTACATTAGGCAGTCGTGTATATTGGTATAGAAGTGAATGCTATTGATACCCCTGAATACGTAATCGTGATGTCTATGTTGGTTTTAATATATATCAAAATGAACATACTTGTGTATATCACATAAAATTTGTCTTTTTGCACAAAAATATCTCAATTCGGAGTTGAAATGAAAGAAATACCGGTCAATAAAAATAAGTATGAAAAAGAAGAGAGAGAGAATGATAGATAGCACATGACAATGGGTGGCTGGAAAAAAAATAATAAAAGAAAAGAAAATTGAGTAAATTTTTTTCTTATTGGTTGCATTAAGTATTGATGTGGATGCATAAAAGTTAAATAAATTTGAAATGAGGAAGTCTAAATTTTGACATAGCAAATGAATTGGACTCATGGATTGGTGGATTTATTGATCAAATGGATTAATAAATTGTATCATGAATCCAAGTGATATCTAAATATTAGATCAATATGAAAATTTTGAAAAGTTGAGACACTAAAATATAAAAATAATAAAAAATAAGTACCAAAATGTAATTTCTGATGATACTTTATTATTTTTCAATAAAAATCAATTTTAAGTATCAGGATGTAAATATACAAAGTAAAACACTAAACTGTAATTTTTTTAAATATCCATGAATTTGGTCATAAATCCATCAATTCAATTGAATTTTAAATGAATTTAAATGAATTTGATTAATTAGATATTTTCGTGTATGTATTGAATCGATAGATTAGATAGAAAAGTACAACCTTCTTTATTTTAATTTTAATTTGAATAATGATTATTAATTAGTCAAACCATTTTTGAATTCTATTTTATTAACCAAACCTATCAAAATACTAAGGATTAGCCAAACATTTTGTAACATGTCAAAGTAATAGTCATTAGTTTGTTACTGTTAACTATTTCTTAACAATGCTACACCTCAACGTCCAACTTAGTTGTCACCACATCAATGAATAAAATAAAGGGCTAATACCACTGGAAAACCCGAACTATCAAGAAAGTGTCATCCCAAACTATTCAATATGACATTTATGTCCTGAACTATTTTTCCATTAGTGTTGATCGAGTTTGACCGTTTATATTTAATAGAAAATATAGTCAGCGTTGATGTTGCATTCGATATGAAATTTTAAATATTAATTTTTATTTATATTTTCATTTAAAATGATTAAAACAAGTAGAAATAAAAAATTACTAAAATTCCCAAATTTTCTTAATCGCTATGTTGATCCCACTCTTAAGTCAACATCAAGTTGACCAACTTCTGGTCAACTGTTATCTATAACGATTAACAAAATCTTCAGGACATAAACGACATACAACTATCATATATTGAGACATAAATGGAATATTGAATAGTTCGGAACACAAATGACATTTTCTTTGATTGTTTGGGTTTTCCAGTGGTAAGCTAAAATAAAAATAGGCAAACACTATTATTAGCCAAACATTTTTCTCATTCTTTTGTATTAGCCACAGCTTTTTTTTATAAGTGGCCAAATCTTTTGTGATGCATCAAAATTTAGCCATTTTTACTTTATTGTTAATAATTTTGTTACTATTTTCTTAGTTAAAACATTAAACTTTTGGAATGTTGACTTCCATGTGTCACTTCCAAGTCAGTATCATGTTGCCAAGTCAATATTACTAACAAAATTGCTAACTCAAAGTTAAAATTTGGTTAATTATTAGTAATTCAATAGGTTTGCCTAGAATGACAAAAATATCCGTAACCGTGGATATCGCCAGAATTCGGCCTAATCGAGTAGGGTAAAACCCGAACCCGAAAGACATTTAGTGGGTACGGGTAAAACCTGAACCCGAATATTGCGGGTAATGGGTGGGCATGGGTCTCTCACTATCCAACCCGAACCCGCCCGATTATATACATGCATATGTATTTTGTCTAGAAATAACATTATTTTTCTCTAACATATGTTATATTTAGCATATAAATATAATATTTTCATGAAATTGTGTTATTTTAATTAATTTTCTTCATTCTAGTGAATTATTTTTGTATTTTTCCTCTTACGTAATGTGAGAATACATGTGAATGTTAACATATTGGTTGGAGTTATGAAAGGAAATTACTACCCATGGATAATTGTGGATACCCGAATAGGTATGAACATGGTTTTGATTTTCTACCCGTTTCACATGTGGGTATGGGTATGGGTAAAATCCGAACTACTTTGGGTAGGGTAACGGATAAGCACTATCCGCTCCCAACCCGACCCATTGCCATCTCTAGGTTTGCCTAATAAAAAAGAATACGGAAAAGATGATCAATGATTGACTGACTAATGTGACATTTTTTGACTTCCACGACACAATATTCCTTCCAACTTAGCGCCACGTCTGACAGCTCACCATCATCAAAAGGAAAAGTAAACGAAAAGTTACGTTCGGCTAATTAATAGCATGTCAATAGGTTTAACTAAAAAAATCTAAAAAAAGTTAGGCTAATAAATAATCATTAGTCATTACCCTTATATTTTTAATTTTACAGATAGATTGAATACTCAAGTTCCAAGAAAGAAAGATAAAATAGAAAACATTTCCGCAACAAATGGAGCACGAAGTGAATGAGGGTTTCTGACAAAGGGATTCTCACTGTTCATGCAAACTGCAAAGAGCCAAAATGAGAAGAGAGCATCCATCCAAAGGACAAATGAGAAAGAGAGATAACAATAGATGGAAGGAAGCAAAGCCACTTTCCCATTTCCTCCATCATTGTTGTTCCTTCAAGCATCATAAATCTCACTTACCCGAAATCTGCATTCCCTCTTCTTCTTTTTCTTCTCATTTCCTGATCAGGGTAACATAAGGTTTTTCAAATGGAGAAGGTGATGGAGGAGCTGAAGGATGGTGAGAGGAAGCAAAGGGATCTACGCAAGAGACTCGAGGAAATGCATTCACAGGCTTCGTCGGTGCTCGATTTTTCCCTCGACTGGAAGGATTTGGAGCTTCATTACGAGTCCATTAAGGAAGAACTGGTGAAGCAAGCAGCAGAGATTGCCTTTCAAGAAAAGGAAATTGTGGAAGCTAGGGATAGGGTAGTGGTTGATCTCAGAGCTGTTGAAGGGTTCTTTAAACAGTGCAAGCAGAAAGAAAGCGAACTGGGTTCCCTTCAGATGGAGCTTTCCAGGGCTCAATCCGAGCTTCTGTTTACAAAAGAGCAGCTGGGTGTTGTGGTGAAAGAGATTCAGGTAAAAGAGAAGAAGTTAGGGGTTGTAGAGCAAAGAGTGGTGGAGTGTGGTAAGGCTCTTGAAGGGAAAGAGAAGGAGTTAGGGTTTGCGAAAATGAGTTTGGATCAGCTTCGTGTGGAGGTTGAAGGTAAAAGAAAGCTTTGAAAATGTTGTGTTCTTTTTTACCTCTGTTTTCGACAGAGTAGCAGGAAATTTCTAAGATCGGTGGTACATGAAGTCTTACGAATTTGATGAAAAGTCTTTCAAAATATTCTCTTAAGTTCTTCAAATGACATTCTTCATTACTTAATGTTTCTGATAATATCACCATTGTGGTTTAGTAGTGTTTCCCAATTGCTGCATAAAAATGCAGGTTTCAATGCCAGAATAATATAAAATCTCGATTTTAACTGCCATGTGAACAGGAACAGAGCAACAATATGGAAAAGTAAAGCAGTTGGTCGAGAAAGAAACCAAAGAGCTGGAGTCTAGAAACAAGCAAGTGGAAGAAGTGGAGAGATTGCTTTCAGATTGTAGTTCTCAGCTTCAGTTGAAGAAGACGGAATTGGAAGATGTAAAGGAATCAATCAGAAACTGGAATGCTGAATCCAAGTCGAAGGAAAACCAGTTGGCTGAACTGGAAAAGAGGACCACGGACTGTATAGTGGAGCTTAAGTTGAGACAGAACGAATTGGATATGAGGAATGAAGACCTCGAAAGAGCCAGGAACTTGGTTAAGAAGCAAAACTACGAGTTTCTCTCAAAGAAAACCTCTCTCGATTCAATGGAAGAGTTGATCAAAAAATTTGAGGAGGACTTCGCAAGAAAAGAATTCGAGTACAAGGAGATGATCAAGGAGAAAGAGCAAAGATTAGCATCGCTTGAAGAATCAATCAGGAAAAGCTCACACAGTAAAGAGAAAGTGGAAGACTGCGTTATGAAGAAGAATCTTGAGGCAAAACAGGCAGGGTTGAGTTTTGTTCAAGCCGCCATGGAAGCTAAAAAGAGGGAGCTTCAGCTGAAAGAAAAGCTGGATTCAAGGCAGAAGCTGCTTCAAGAACGCGAGCAGCAGCTAAATAGTAGCATTGGTCATTCGCAGAGGAATAAGGCGCCGCCACGAAATACTAGGTCTGCGCAGGAGAAGGAGCAGCAACACAACTGGCCATGGCAAGTTGGAAACTTTTCCCGTCAAGAACAAGGGAACAAGCGACCTAGAAACAAGGATTGAAAAACCGTAGCTGACTTTTCAACCTCCAGTAAAAGTTTTGCTAGTGTTCATGGTCAACTGGTGAATGATGCTAATCTATATTCACTCTGTACGCAAGGCATCGTTTCAATGTTAGATTGTCGCAAGTGGACAATCCCAATTTACCATTAATAATATCCTGAGTAATACCTTCCCTTATTTCACCAAAAAGGGCTTTTGAACATAGCTCTCATCTCATGAATTTGGTGCTCAACCCCAGTCGAGCCTCAAGCAACCAGGAGGATTAGAGGCATACGGCTACCAAATCTTTTCTGTTTTATCTTTTTTTTCCCCCCCTTCTGTTTTATCTAGCTGCAGGGAAGGGTGAGACACTTGAATAGCCGGAAAGGAAGTTCATCAATCATCATGATAACAGAGCACAATTTCCCAGCAAAAATTCATGGGTACTAAATATGTTTCACATCAGATTCATTTTCATAATAAATACATTGTTGCAACTGCAACTACAGCAACAGATCAATACGAAGGAAAAAATAGATAAGCAAAAAAGGAAGCCTGCTGTTTGACTGGAACTATAAACATTATGGTATTATCATCACTGACAGTGAGGTAGAAGCCTGCAGGTTGGGCAGTACCATTTTCCCTTGAATCGAGTCTCTGGTGTAAGCCCAACGCACGTATAATGGAACCATTCTCCTCCTTGGCACTGCGAAACCAAGTACAAAGCATGAGGGCTAATATGAAACAGACATGGAATACTCAAGTGGTGGAAATCTTGAGCTACAATAGAAGGCAAAAGAGCAAAATGGGAGAGAAGGTTGCTCACATTTTCGTTATCACATGCAATCATATCACCGAAGGATACCTGAAGAACCAAAAACCATTCAACAACTTAGTACCATGGCTGAGTTTCTACAATACTACTTCAAAAACCAAGCGTGGTGAAGCAAGAGTAGCTAAAATTGGATGAGTTGGTGAAAGGAAGACAGAACCTGATGGCAGACACAATAGGTTGGTTCATTGGGATCAATTGGTTGATCGACGTCAACAGGTACAGCAAAATCCTTTCTATGGCTCCCTGGTGGAGGCATGAGCTCGAAATCCCTATCACGTTCTCGATCCCAATCTCTGTCCCTAAAATCCATCCTTTTTGATTGAGGTGTTCCATACAAGGGTTTACGCTTTTCCGGTTTTGGAATCATAATAGACAGTGGCGGCAATATAGCTGGTTCATCTTGCGGTATCTTTCCTTCTGGTAAGAGAAATAAAAGTAAGCTGATAATGGGCTTTGCATAAACCGACATACTATTTCACAAGAAAATGAGTGTCACAAGATGGTCAAATTCATCAGCCAGACGTTCTGAGATACCATGAGTTCAAGAAAGCATACTAATTATATCTCAAGTGATCTGGATTACCTTGCTTCAAATCTTCTGCAAAGTTGTTCAGATCCTCATCAAGCCGTTTTATATGGCTGTCTATCTGCAATCAAATAATATCACTGAGATTTTTTTTCAAATGTGCAGTAAAATACAAAAGAAGCCATCAAAAAACAATTGAGACTTGAAAGGACATTGCATTGGGCAAAATATAGAGTATCTCCAACAACTGAACAACTCAAACTAACTCCCCACAGAACTCACTCCAAAACTACCCACCTATTCAAACAAAACCAGTTGGAAAAAAGGAAAAAAACAAATGGCCGGAAAAGCTTGAACTGTTAATTTTTGTTTGTAAATGTAGCAGCAAGTTCTCGATCAGCGGCAAAACTCAGTAATACATAGAGAAGAAACTGCACGCACTCAAACTGATGATAACAACAGAAACCCTTACAAGATCATGAGCCTGCCTTGCCAATAAAACCTTCTCAGTGCACAAACTTAAGGCATTGTCTTGATTTGCTTCAATTTCCTTTCTCATTCTTTCGACAGCGTCGTCCTCTTCATTACCATTATAGTTATTGCAGCCATTGCCATTACCTTTCCTTGAGCTCTGCGATGCTAATCCTAGACAGAACTTCGTCTGTTGCCTCGTTTGATTGATCATTGCTTCAATTATACAAATCACGAAAACAGTATCAACCAACCAGCCAAACTTTCCAACAAATTCCTACTCAAACAAATAACTCAGTAAAAAATGCAAATCCAATAACACGAATTAGCTAACCACATTTTGAGCAAGCCAGAGCTTCAAGTTAGCTTACAATGGGATCGCTCGTCGAGTTCCCTGATCGTGTTAAGAAGCCTCTGAAGCTCAGCGGGCAGCGTGCTTGCATCTATAGTCACATATTAAAACTCGGAATCAGGAATATACTAAAAGAATTGCGAGCGAACACAGAAGCTGACATTGAAGCTTGGAGATGGAAAAACAATGCGATTGACGAAAACTTACACTCTAGGTAATCGTCAACGTAAACTCCTGTTCGAGCGATCGCCATTGTTTAGTAATCTCAGGGGGGATTCTTCCTTCTTTTGCCTCTGCTATCGGTCTAGGGTTTCGGAACTCGATTTCGTTCTGCTGCGTGGGTTTGGTTGGAGGAAGAAGAATGAGCAGGAAGAGATAGAGTTGAAAAACGATGTCGTTTCATTCTTGACGACGTTTTTGGCGGGTGAAAGGTTTGGGGAATTTTCCTACCGGCATTCCTATTCGTAGCCCTTAGTCAAGGTTGTCAAACTGGATTAAGTTATCAAGTCGGTTTGTCAAAAGATTTGATGTTTAATGGTCGGATCGGAATTCAACCGGATTAAGCTGGTTTTGACAATATACTTGTGATTTCACCACATAAAACACTACCCAAAGCAAAAAAACCAATCCCTTCTTCATTTTCTTATTTATAAATCCCTTCTTCAATTCGCTAAACCTCTTCTCAAACTGACAACTAACAAACACCTAATTCATCTTGTCTACTCTTCCATCTTGATTCATCTCCATTTCTCCCAACACCAATCTACTTTCTCCTTTTAAAACTTTGTCAATTCTCCTTTTCTGGAGTGACTAGGGGAAAGTGGGAAGAAGAACACGATGGGAGCGGCTGTTGGTGCGAACTAAAAGGGAGAAACGACGACGAGGGTTGATGCACCACCGGTGATGGTCTGCGAACGAGACGCAATGCTTCAAGATCTAGGCAGGAGGATGCAGGGGCCGGGAAGACACAGGGAAGATGTGGGGTCGGGGAGCGCCGTCGCTGATTAATGGAAGACGGAGGGGAGCGCCGCCGCGGGAGGGATTCTATTTCCTCATCAAGAGCTCTGTTTAGTACTTCTGTTGGCTGCTAGCTCATTTGACGGAAGGGAAGGCCGGAGGGTTATAAGTTCATTCCACAGCGTCGTGTCCATAGTAGCCGGTAGCCGGATAAGTCAGGTCTGACCCTGACTTCGACTGGTTTTTACCGGCTTTGACCGGTTGGCGACTAACTCAAAATATGGTTGCTGCTAGCCCCTTTCATGTCCGGTTCCGGGCGGACCCGAGCAAACCGGCCGGCCAGACCCTGGTTTGACAACCTTGCCCTTAGTTCATTTATTTGTCGCACTAACTAAGTTAAATTTACTCTAATATCCTTAGTTCAATTATTTGTCTTTCAACCTGTCCAGCTAGCATCACGGAAGAACAAAAAAAAAAAAAAAAAGAACTGGCCAGCTCGCACGACACTTCCTCTTCTACAGCAGCAACATGCCGACGAGATGGGAACAACCCTTCTCCTGCCCTTCTTCCTCCCCGCAAGTTGAGAGCTGAGATGGATTCTCTACCAATCCAAACAATAACTAAAAATTTGAGGCTGTACGAATTTCTTTCTTCCTTTTCTTCTCCGTAACAGAAGCAACAGACGGCAGTAATGGTGGCCCCCACTTTCATCGCTCTGCCGCCCATCTCGCCCCAATTGCACAACACCATTCCTCCCCCTCCCTTCTACACCCCCTCCATGCGCCTCTTCTCCGACGCGTCGCCGAGGTTGGTCGCCTCGGTAATGTCCTCAAATTTGCCCTGGCTCTCAGAGCGATACCCACCCACGACCCTAAACTCCGACCCGATCACCACCCCTTCGCACTCGTCTCTTTCATAGCTCATCACCGCCAGATCCGTCCACTCGTCTGTCTTCAACGTGCTTGTTCTCGTCGTGTCCGACAGCGACCCTCACCTTGTCGTCTCTCTCACCGGCGGCAAAAAATGATCGGGCTGCCGGCATGCTCATCCCACGCCTCCACCTCGGGGGGACGATTTCTTCTCCTTCCCCTGTCTCCTCCTATCCTTCTTTTCTTACCAATAGGGCGGAGGTAATGGTGGTCGGCGGCAGGTGTGAAGAAAAAGGTGATTGATTTAGGTATTTTGAGTACAAGTTAGGGTGATGAATAAGAATTCAGTTTTCCTATTCTCATTTATTTGGTGAAATTCCAATTTATTCTTAAAACTTATTCATGTGTGTTAAATTGGAGATGAAACTACTCGGTTCCCACCAAGATCCAAGCTACTTAGCCACCCAATGGGCGTTCAACTTTGATGAGTGTCATCTTCTCATCTAAAGTTAAAAAAACCCATGGCTAGGGATCCGAATCCTGTTAGAAATTTTGGTTGAACAAAATCAACCGGGTCAAATCGGTTTGAGGTTGGATCTACCAAACCGGTTTTGGGTTAGACTGACCAAATCATATATTCTAAATCCTTGAAGGGACATGTCTCTTTGATTTCATGGTGGTTGCATTTTCATGGATAAGGTCAACTTATGGATAAGGATGAACTTAAGGATAAGAATGAACTATGGATAAGGGTAACTTTCCGTATGGATAAAGGCAACATTTCGTACATATATAGGCACCTTTTCATGAAATAATGCATGGGTTCAGCCCCTCTAAATATATGTGTGGGGTGGATGATGCCAGATACGATCAAACATATTCTTCTTCTTCTTTCTTCCAAAAGCTTTTAAGTATGCTTTAGTGTTCTTAAGTCTAGAACCTAAAGTGGTGATAGTTTTATCTTACGAATAAATTTCCTGTAACCCAAGACTTTGTGGAGAGTGAAAATATTCTTTGAGGAAAGTGAACATAGTTCATGACTCTATCATATTCCCAGTCACCTAATCTCGGGCTATCGATAGTAAACCCTCGTCCGCAAAAGTCCCAACAAATCCACGGGTACCCTATCAACCCAATCCGGCCGAAACGGGTAAAACCAGTGTTGCACATTGGGGGTTGAGTTTCAGGTTGAAATCGTTTACATTGTTCAACGGGTTGGTTTGGATTTAGGTTTAGCTATACCCGATCCATGGATATGCGTCCACACTCATATTCCACAACTAGTTCCCCCACTAAACCCTACTCCCCTACCCCTACCCCTACCCCCAACTCCAACTCACAATCTCTTACTTATCAACTAAACTGATCTGTCCCTCCCCCCTCCCTTAGGGATGGAAACCAAACATGGATCCTCGAGTACTCTACCTGACCCAACTCGATTAATGCGGATAAAACCCAGGTTGATAGATTGCGAGTTTAAACCCGCTCTACTGTTTTGCGAGTTTGGTTGAGTTCGGGTTTAGCCATATCCAACCCATGAATACCTGTCCACAATTAATGCCCACAACCCACAAATTATCCACAAATTATCCATACAAATTAAAGACGAACATCCACACCCAACCCATGAGTTCGGGTTTGCTTGTATGGACATATTATGAAGAAGTGTTCAACCCGCTCTACTGTTTTGCTTGTATGTACTCGATTGGTATTTTTGGCATGGATGATTTGTATGGACAAATTGGTGTTAAACTTTTATTTTGACAAGATATTGGTGCTATACACTTATGTCCATGAGAACCCATGGATATCCATGATCCCGTGAATACCCAGTGGGGTTCGGTTGGATTTGAGGTTCCAAAACCCGTTTGTTTTTTCCCCAAATCTTTTTGGCGGATATACCTGTTGGGTTGGATTTGGGTTTGGCATAATCTGACCCAACTCGACCCATTGCCATCCCTACCCTCCCTCTCTCTCCCAGTCCTTGCTCCTTCCGTTCTACTACTCCGACTATGCCGCCATCCACTCGCCAGCCGGCCCGAAGTCTCTGGCTTGTCACCCTTCATCTCCTCCCCAGTCCCTCCATCTCCTCCAGTTCTCTCTACCCGCCCTGTGACATTACCCTCTCCCTCTACCTAGTGGTGGAGCAAGAAATTTTTCCAGGGGGTGTCTTTCTTTGTATCATAAAAGACACCGCTTAAAATGAATCTCGACGAGATTTCATATTTTGAAAACATTCTAGAACACATTCCTTGTCCAAACTAGCACACAAATCTTATTCATAATATGTCACCAACATATCATTCAACCAGTGATCATTCATTGATCCTACTCTAACTACACATCTCAATCGATGACAAAGCATAACCGACGACCGGGTGTAGCATTGGGTAAGCAAGCAATAAAATTTATCGAACCACGGGGATCTAGGCTTACTTTACTTTGGGTTGAGGGTTCGTTATCTAGCCAACCTAGAATAGTGATTAAGAAACTAATCTAGCTAACCTAAACTAACCACTACCCTAGATAATTACAAGTTTTGGAGCTCTCTTAGGTTTGAATCCTTCTAGTTCCACCATTTGGATCTATGTTAAGTACTATCCTAGCTCAATCGACTCACTCGCGACCTAGAACGGCGAAGTGATGGATGGGTAGGTGATCTATTCAATCTAGGGATTCATATATCTCTAGGAGATTGATCGAATCAACTCCCTCCCGGAAAATATATGATAGGAGTGACCAGAAGACGCTAATAATGGGCTCTAAGGGGATTATCTCTCTCCTAAATCAACAGCTCAATTGACATGAAGTGGAATCCAAATTCTTGCAATCCGTGAAAGCATCCATCAAATAGATAAATTCATCAATCAAACATAGAATATGTCACATACATCAACAACAAATCAAAATCTAGACCTAGGGTTCATCAACCTTAGAGAAAGAGGTCTAGTTTAAAGAGAATATGAGAGAGATTACAAAATTGCTCAAGATCTTTATCTTCTTCATCGTCTAGGCTTGAATCCTTGACTTCAAGATCAACCCAAGCCTCCAATTAAGCTCCAAGATCACGTTAGAACTCTCTCTCTCTCTAGAACTCCTCTTTGGTATTTTGGGTCAAAACCCTAGAGAGAACCAAGTTCTTCTCCAAAAATCAGCTCCCCTTTCTCTCTCCCTGTTGCTTTCTTATTATACAGCCCGAGAGCCAATGTCACGGGGTGACATTGGCCGTGATCTCATCCAAAAACACAGGCGTTTGTTGTCGTTTTGGTCCAATGTAACGGTCAGTTGGAAAATGTCATGGTCTGGTGACCGTGACAATTGATTTTCCCACGAGACATGCAAACTCTTCTGATCCTTGCAATTGTCACGGCCCAGAGGCCGTTACAATTACCCCCAAAACAGTGGCATTGGCTTTTTCTTTACTTTTTTGCACTTTTCAAACTTCAATCGTCTCGAAACTCGTCTTTGACCTTCCCACACATACTAGGACCTGCAATATATAAAAAAGCACAACCTAGCAAAAAATAGGTTGAGGGAAGATGAT